CTTTCGTATGCCCTCTGACCAAACTATATTTAACAGGGAGAAACCCACATTGGATTAGACTTAAGGTTACAAAAATTAAGTGAACCTAAGAAAAATGTTAGCTTAGTTAAGTATGAGTTTTTACTAAAATGCTATATTCTTTTACATTCTTCTTTTAAATAGGACAATTTTCATAGTTAATTATAGTTGCAAGTCATACAATTATATTTTTCTAATGAAGAATTTAAATTGTTTGAGGTGATTTCCTGGTTCTTTAGACCAGGGGTCTTCAAAATTATTTGCATATATAATCCTGAAAGAATTCTGGAAAACATAGGGTCCCTTGAATATTTTACATTGATATCTAAAGATGGTTTATCTTTAACTTTAAATCATTGCAGAGAATGTACTTCCTGGTGTATTGTAATTTGAATATATACTCCAACTTTGTTTTTATCAAATCCTTGGGGCTCATTCAGTTTATTAAAAAAGTCTACCATATAAATATTGTCAACCCAATCTTCATCAGCTAAGTCAGACTGAATGTCTATCATTTTAAAATTTAAATGATTGGGATAATATTATTCTGAATCCTAATTCCACATGAATGACACAGAGAGATACAGAGAGAAGGCATGGAGACTTGCCAAGAGTTGGCTGCCTAGATAAAATAAGACTTGAGTACTTTTTACTGAGGCTCTCTCTTTGTTTCATTTTTAGGTGGGGAATGGGAGAATACTTCTTCAGAGGCAGTACACATTTAATCATTCCTTTTGAATTGCCTCTAAGATTTTTATAGCCTGGAGCAACGCACCAAGATAAGATTCAGGTTGGGCGAGAGATGTCTCTCTTCTGTATGATGGGAGGATGAACATGAAAAGGGGGTACTAGCAGGACTCAGGAGCTGAGAATCTGAAAGTAGGCTGCCTTAAAACTATCCAATCACCATGTGTTTTTGGAAAGTCTTCATGTACCCTAGGAGTATGAGTGCCCAGGTTGAATTCTGCTATTCTAAACCCTTCTTAAAAGAGAATGCACATGCTACAAAGATCCCAGAATACAAGATAGTCTTCCAATGGGAAGATGCTCAAACAGCAACAGGCATTCCAGAAACTCAGTAGGACAAAGGGACTCCTTTATTAATGCTTCTCCTTATGGAACAGCTCACAGTCCAAGACCTAATTCTCATGTTTAGATATGAATTTCTAGAGATGAAAAAGCCTCTACGACACAAACTTGTAGAGCTGGAATAGTGGGGTGAGTAAATAGCACTGAGATTATTTTGAATTTTTTGCCTCTACCTAACTAGTAGGAGGCATCTTCTGATTTAATGTTTCCACTGAAGGTCCTAAATTATATCACATTAAACAAAAACTTAAAGTAATACCACATGTCAAAGGACTTGAAAGTATGCAAAAATTGTGCCTTACTTGGAGAATATTAATTGAACAAAAATCTATGCTTCATAATAGAGAAGCTAATATTTCAAAGGAATGCTTCAAATAATATCCTTCAGCATTACTTTATGCTAACCATGCTTTCACTTTACAGTTCTTTCCCACAAAGCATACTTTTCCCTGTTGTTCTCCAGGAATGATAAAAACATCCAAAAAGAGAGAACTAACTATGAGGAAAAGTCAAATTTCTACCAAAGGTGGATTTTTGTTGCCTTTGTTCTTTCCACATTTCTGTCTTTCATCTTTAGGTAACATTTCCCTACTTTCTTTGGAGTATTTCACTTCCTTCACTCCTTGCAATTCTGAGCTGCTACGCATACTCCTGCAACAATGAAGTTGTGATGTGATATACTAGGTCATACTATCTCATCTTCCTCACCATACACTGGCTTGGAGTTAGGCACATGATGCAAACTGGGTGAATCAGAGCCCATCCCAGGGATATTTATAAAAAATTGAGAGCATTTCAATGAAGTTGCTCAAACACAAAAACCCTGACTTTTGTTGGATTTCTTATGAAAGATGACAAAGAATGGAGTTTTCCCCTTGGGGTCTAAAGTGGAACATAACCTAGCAGGCCATGTGGATACAGTGGATAGTGAAAAAATAGAAAAACACAAATAAGGAAGGACATACATATTATAAAAAGGCCTTGAACTTCGCCAGGCCCTGGACTAGTATTCAAAGATTTACCTGCATCACAGGTAAATCTGAGACAGGGAGGCCCCTGGAGACATGGGTAACAGGTTTTAAAAACTAGAGGTCAACAAGTAGGTCATCTACCCAGACAGATGAAACAGGAAGGTCTTGTTATATAACTTCTAGGCAAGCAGAAAGCTCATGGGCTTGTTGACAGTGATGGAATTTCCTGCACTGAAAGGAAAAGTGTGTGAAAGGGGAGAGGGATGCTATGTGTTTAGAGGATATGTAGGCTGATTCACTATAAAGTTCTGCATGACTGGGGGCAAGCCGGGGGTGGGTGTAGGGTTAGGTGGGGGTGGAGAGAGTGTGTGGAGGGGGTATTGAGGCAACTGCAATTCTTGTGTTTCAATTGCGCCACCATGTGGCTGTGATGCCAGCAACAGCCTAGCCCTAGCCCAATATGACACCTTAGTTGACGCTGATTTCTAGTGTCTCTTCTGGAGGTAAGTAAAGCTAACTGCCCAGTCCCTAATGTATATGGATTCCTTATGGTGGGAGATGGGCATTGGTTAGAAATAGGGGATTACAGAGAAGAAGGACATTTTTAATGATATCAGAGGGGTATTATTTGAATAACAAAAATAGAGTGGTTCTCATTTTAAGCCCTAAGTTGGAGAAGTGGAGTTTATAGGCAGTGGTGTATTGGAGTTGGCTTGTGCCAGTTTGCAAGAGATAACTGTTAAATTTTCAGGAATTTTTCAAGCTGGTCATAAAAAATTGACTACATATGTCAGGTATAATGACAATAGATTTATTAGGAAAAGAGTTAGCATATTAGGATGTAACTCCATTTGTCAAATCATAGTTCAATTGCAACCATATGTTGGCTACAGATACAAAAGCTTGGCAAAAGTCAACAAAATAATTCTGTAAGAATCCATTGACTATATGGGAGTTATAATAAATATTGTATATGTTATATTATTTGTAAATTGTATGCCACACATCTTTTATATTATAAAGTTAATACTAAATACGCACACACACACACACACACACACACACACACACACACTTTTTACCCCTGTAGAGTTGGCTGTTAAAAATTTACTAGCACAAAACTGCTTATAGGTTATATGTTTATAATGAATTGCTAATAAGAAAATATGAATAATGCATCATTTCATTTCACTCACACCCACTTAATTCCAGACTAGTATGACTCCATTCTGAGTCACACTCCAACAGCCTACAAAAAGTTCAGGCTGTTACCAATGCTTAATAGGAATACCCATTCATTGTTTGCTTCATTTCCTTAAATGCTTTGGTGGTAAATAGATAATTGAATTCCTATAATGTCTATGCTGATACTTTAAAACCACCCTGAAGTGCTACGTGACTAATATTTCTGAAAGGTGACATTTCATTCCCACCTAAATAGCTCACTTTCATATAATTATATAAGAGGTTAGATCTCACCATGAGCTAGAAAAAGTAGGCAGGTAAATTATTCTGCATGATGACAACCAACACAATTATTCTTAGACTCTAAAAATTAAGGAGAGGCTTCCCACTTGAATGGCAGACGGTGCACATGTGTTTGATCTGGCTGCAATTAAAATGAAAGTAAAGGAACAAAAATCAAAAAAAAAGGAAATGAAATCCCAAGAATGAAAAGAATAAGATGAGAATCACTAACAGATGAAGATTTTTTTTTTTAAGGGACGTCAGAAAAGAGATGCAACCATGTGATGGATTGAACAGAGGGAAGGAAGCCACAAGTCAGATACCATCAGGAGGACCATAGGAGTTATCTGTCTAATAAACCCTCAGAGATATTCTGGGGTTGGAAACTTGGAGTCAAACTGTCAATTGGTCAACAGAACAAGATAACAATAGTCAAGGACTCAGGAACTTCCTTTCTTAGAAGTTACTTGATGTATTTATTTGAGAAAAAATAAGAGGGAAGAAAATCAGAAAGAAAATTACCTGTAATACAGAAAACATGGACCTAACCCAGTGATCAATGAGCAGAAATCCCAAATGACTGGAGTGCTGCAGGCCTAGAAATATCTTTCCAAAATAGAATAAGAATTCAGTGGGGACCAAAAAAAGAATATCTGTAATAAGAAAGGCATAGATTCTATGTCATAGATAGAATAAATAAGGTGTTGGAAGATATTTGAGCATGCTGAAGAAGGCATGCTACTTTTCTTAGGGGGAAAAAGGCAATTATAAATTCTAGAAAAAACCAAAAAAAAAACAACAAACCAGAAATAAAATTGTGGTTCAAATATTAATCAATCTAAAATACAGCATAATTTTGAGCACAAGGAAAAACAATCTATTTTATGATATCAAATTTTAGATCAATAAACAGGAGAAAAATAATTTAATAGCTATTACCAAAATTCCTTTTATCCATGTTGGTAATATCTATTAAAATATAAAATGTATATACTTTTTGAACCAGCTATCCTATTTCTAGGAATTTATCCTCAAGTTTATACTTACATCTTTGTTCAAATATGTAAATTTAAGCATGACCATGCCATCATTATTTATAGTGACAAAAAGTAGAATCGATTAAAGGAATTATGGTATTTTCGCACAATACTGTACAGCCTTTAAAAAGACTGAGATAAATCTATATATATGATTTTAATGATCTTCAAGATACATAAATAATAAAAAGCAAGATATAGAACAATGTGTATATTGTGCTTCTATTTGAGCAGAAACTAGAACACACACATCCATTGTGAAACTTAACTCTGTGGTTGACTCTAGGGAAGTGAATAATGTTTGAACTGAGATGAACATTTACTTTTTCCTTTCATATTGCTTAAATTTTACCATGTGCTTATCAATTTTTCAGCTTTAAAATATTTAAAAAGTGAAATAAAATAAAAAATAACTCACCTTTGCAGTTAGGATACTTTTGCTTGAAAGTAACAGGAACTCAGACTGAACTGAGTTTTTACTGGCTCAGTAACTGGGAATTCATGGGTCCACATAATGGAATTCCAGAGCAGAGAACCCTTCAGGTTTAACTTAATCCTGCCTGCCAAGACTGTTTGTTATTCCTCTGTTTGTTGGATTCGTCCTTACACTGACTTTTCCCATGGCAAAATGCTGCCTTCACATCTTCCTTCCTCAAGGTCCAGATAAAGAGAGGATGTTTCTTCCTATGATTCTCTTGTGAGAATGAACCTTTCCCAGAAGGTTCTGCACATCTCTTCTCATCCTTTTTCATCCAACCTCGTTTCCATGTTGCTCCTGAAGCAGTCCCTGTGGCCAGAGGAATGCATGTGCAGATCAGCTTAGAGTTCTAGCACCATCACTGTAATCAAGGAGATGGGATCATCTGAATTCAAAACAATCTTTCTCTGGAGCTGGGTGTGAGTTTCCCCTGATGTATGTAAGAGTCATACTGGTACCTGAATCAGGATACTGTTAGGAAGGGGAGGGAAATGGAACTAGGTGCCTTATAGGCAACAACAATGACCATTATTCCCACCCTAGTCTTCCTCCATGCTATGATAAAGGCCTTTTCACTGCTGCCTTCACAATATGATCCTACTTCATAAAATTATTATCAAAGAAAACTAATTAACTTATCCTTTGCAGTAACAGAGTAAAGCCTGGTAATAATAATCATGATATGACCTTTGAAAAGATGTAATTTATAGGATGCTCTCCCATTTGATACAGAATAGATCATTTGTTAGATTATCCTATTAGTTAGAATATAGCCATTAGGGGAATAGAACTATATTCTTCAAGAATGTCAAGTTTGGAGGGAATATAGAATGACGATTGTCATGGTGAATATGCAGTAATTATAAACTCCAAAGTGGAATTCATTAGGTTTAATTTTCCCTTGCTAATGATTGACTACAAAGAAACAACTGAAAGAAGCAACCTTCTCCACCCCCCAAAAATAAGTCTGACAAATAAGCAACAGAATCTTTCATTGCCAAAAACAGGATCAAGTAAAAATTACCATGGACATTCTGTCTCTCCCAGCCCAATTTAGAGTCAATATTGGTTCACCAGCAATACCTCTAATTCAAAAGAATATATGCACTCCTGTGTTCATTGCAGTGTTATTTACAAGAGCCAAGATTTGGAAGGAGCCCAAGTGCCCATCTGTAGATGAGTGGTACATTACACAATGGAATACTACTTGGCTGTAAAAAAGAAGTAAATCTTACCATTTGCGACAACATAGATGGACCTGGAGGGTATTATGCTAAGTGAAATAAGTCAGTCAGAGAAAGACAAATACCATTTGACTTCACTTATATGTGGAATCTAAAGAACAATATAAACAAATAAACAAACACAATGCAAACAGACTCATAAATACTGAGAACAGACTGTGAAGGCTGCTCTAGGAAGGGCAACTGCCCTCTTAAGAAGATGGCCTAAATCTGAATTATTCTGATATTCCGTTCATGGACTCTTGGTCATGGATTTAGTGGGAATGGGAAGTAGACCTGGATTTGAAATGCCTTACAGAGGGGTTCCAAGTATGGCTCCCCGCAAGAGTTCTGTAGGTGTTATTTACAAGAGCCAAGATTTGGAAGGAGCCCAAGTGCCCATCTGTAGATGAGTGGTACATTACACAATGGAATACTACTTGGCTGTAAAAAAGAAGTAAATCTTACCATTTGCGACAACATAGATGGACCTGGAGGGTATTATGCTAAGTGAAATAAGTCAGTCAGAGAAAGACAAATACCATTTGACTTCACTTATATGTGGAATCTAAAGAACAATATAAACAAATAAACAAACACAATGCAAACAGACTCATAAATACTGAGAACAGACTGTGAAGGCTGCTCTAGGAAGGGCAACTGCCCTCTTAAGAAGATGGCCTAAATCTGAATTATTCTGATATTCCGTTCATGGACTCTTGGTCATGGATTTAGTGGGAATGGGAAGTAGACCTGGATTTGAAATGCCTTACAGAGGGGTTCCAAGTATGGCTCCCCGCAAGAGTTCTGTAGGAGCAGGGTGGTCTGTACTGTTCCTGCATTTTGCAGGTGCATGATAGAATTTTCAGCCCAAGTGTGAGCAGGTAGAAGTGATACATAAACTATCTTCAACAATAGCCCCATCACCCCTGGGGTGGACCCAGAGAAAAAGGCAGGTGTATGATGAAGTTGCATGACGTTGTCCCCTAACAGGCTTAGGGGACAGGAAAAGCAGTAATAGCTCCTTGGGGATCATTGACTTATCTTTTAGCCAGCGGTATCTTTTGCATTTGTCTGACGAATGAAAGAAGTTATGTTGCATATGGGACTATTAGAGTCCCTACTGAGTCAAAACAGCTCTCTTGAAAGGGCCCAGCGGCCCCACTCAGTTTGCATCCTGGCATAGCAGAAAGGCCTGGATCCAGGTCTTGTCTGCTGGGACATGTAACTGGCTATAGTTTCACTAGAGGTCTTCTTTACTCCCGGTTCACACCATGTACTAACTGTCAGGGTGTTCCCAGAGTGCTGCCAACCATGGACAGATGTAGGGATTTCCTTTGGTGTCACTGGATGAGGTTTGCCGATCTTTGTGAGGTTGTAGGACAATCCAGGTTTTTTAATGGATGACCTCGGATGGAGTAGCTTTCCAACTTGATCTCAAAGCCCATTAAAACCTAAAATTAACCATTGGTAGAATTAAGACTCCAGCCTTAACTTCTTGGGGCCCATAGTGACTTAGGGCTTCATTCTAAACGTGCTAAGTGCTAGGGTTTTGTGTGTGTGTGTGTGTGTGTGTGTGTGTGTGTGTGTGTGTTTAGGTGGGGTCTTTAGGACTTCATGGTGAGGAGCTGTTTTTGTACCCTTTTAATTAAGCTCATCTGGCTCTTGTTCGTGTGAAACTACTGAATGTGTATCAGGGCACCTTGCCCAAGTGTTTCCTTGGGACAATGGCATTGGAGGCACCAGTCTGTATTGCACATGAATGCCTAGAAATAGCATGCATTACAGGGTTGCCAGCTTCCTGACTGTTGTGGCAATGGCTGGATTCTGAGTGACCTCTTGGCCTTTCTCTAGAGCCACACTGTCCAATTTGGTAGCCACTGGTCATATGAGGCTACTGAGCACTTGAAATGTGGCTTGTCTGAATTAAGACGAGCTACAAATATAAAACAGTCGCCAGGTTTCAAAGAGTTAGCATGCAAAAAGAATGTAAAACATCTCATTAATAGCGTTTAATATTGATTGTATGAGGAAATGGTAACATTTTTAATATATTGGGTTAAATAAAATATAATATCAAAATTAATTTCACTTGTTTCTTTTACTGTCTTGAAATGCAGCTTCTAGAAAATTTAAAATGACATGTGGCTTGCATCGTATTTCTTTTGCACAGTGCTACTCTAGATCAGTGGTTCTCAACCTTCTTAATGCCACGACCCTTTAATACAGTTCCTCATGTTGTGGTGACCCCCAATTTCATTATTACAAATTGAACATAATTAAAGCATAGTGATTAATCACAAAACAATATGTAATTATATATGTGTTTTCCGATGGTCTTAAGCGACCCCCAAAGGGGTTGCGACCCACAGGTTGAGAACAGCTGCTCTAGAGGATAGTCAGTGTGACAGGTAGGCTAGTGAATGTGTGGCCCAAGGTCTACAAAATCCTAAATATTATGTCTGAGTTGGCCCGCCACTACTACATTCAAGGCTTTGTGACCTTTTGTTGTAATGAATCACAGCCATGAATAAGATTATACTAGAGGCCTGGTGCACGAATTCATGCACAGGTGGGGTCCCTTGACCTGGCTGGTGATCAAGGCCGATCAGGGTGGTAGGAGGTTGGCCAGGGGGAGGGGCTGCAGGAGGAGCGCATGGACCACCGGGGGCAGCTCCTGCATTGAGCGTCTGCCCCCTGGTGGTCAGTGCACGTCATAGTGACCTGTCGACTGGTCGCTTAGGCATATATATATATATTCAGTTCTGGGTTCTTTCAGTGAATCCCTAAAACTAGTCTTAGAGACCCTCAACACATAAAGTAATATACAGAACCCACTGGTGGAAGACTTGAATGTGAGTAATTTTTGGTTTCATTTTCTTTCTTATAGAGTTAAGAGTTGGAACCCCCTAGATACACCTGACATTACAGAATGTGGGTGGGAGACCCATATCACTAAAGCTAAGGGTAATAGTTTGTGGAAAACTGGCAACTGATGTAGACTTCTCAAAAGCCAACTGTTTACCCTGGCCTGTGTGGCTCAGTTGGTTGGAGTGTCATCCTGTACAATGAAAGGTGGTGGGTTCAATTCCCGGTCAGGGCACAGACATACCCAGGTGTCGGGTTCCATCCCAGTCAGGGTGCGTAGGAAGCAGCTGATTGATGTTTTTCTCTCACAACGATGTTTCTTTCTCTCTCTCTTTCTCTCATTAAAATCAATAAAAAGCGTATCCTCAAGTGAGGAAAAGATTTTTTTAAAATACCAAAACAAACAAAAAGAGACACCTATTCAGTTCTAAATTTTCCATTAATTTCTTCTTTATATCTTCTGAGACTTTTAATTTCTTTGCTGAGACTATTTTTTCACTTGTTTTAAGTGTGTTCTAACTGCTCAAACATTTTGTGATGCCTGCTTTAAAATCTTTGTCAGATAATTTTAACTTCTCTGTCACCTTGATAATGACATATCTCCCCCCTCACACACACACACACACACCACCCATTCAATTAGAGAGATTTCTGGTTCTTGATAAGATTAATGATTTTCTATGAAAGCATGGACGTTTTGGGTATTACGACACTCTGAATCTAATTTAAGCTGTCTATTTTAGCTGGCTTTTCCAGATACTGCTCTGGCAAGGGAGGGACTAGAGAGAGCACCATCTTTGCTAATGCCAGGCAGGAGTAGAAGTCTAGGTTCTCTATTTGGCCTCTGTTGACACCGCTGGGTGGGAATAGGGCTCCTCATTACTGGTGGACTGGGAGTTTCAATTACCCACTAGGCTTCCTCTGATATCTCCCTAGCTGGCAGGGGTAGGAGTGCCTCATTACTGCCCCCCATGTGGCATCCACTGGCACCATTGTGGGGAGGGGTGGTCTCCTTATACTAGGCAGTGATCAAAGTCCTGATTCTTCACTTGGCCCCTCCTCTGATTCTACCCAGGCAGGGACAGGGAGGGGTGTCTCATTACTGTCAGGTAGGGGTGGAAGTCCAGGCTCCCCACGTCTCCAGTGACACTTTGGGGATGGGGGAGGGGCACGTGTGGAGGGGTCCTTGTTACCAGCCAATGGTGGGAATGTTCAGTCCTGGTTCTCTATTGGGCCTTCTCTGACACACACTGGTGGGTTAAGTAGGGGGATTAGGGTATTAGGGTGTTGGGGTGTCTCATTAGATAGCCAGAATAGTGTGCAAATCTAGAAATCTTCACTCAGCCTTTGCTAGCACAGTTGGGGTGGGACCATAGGTTTTCACTGTGTGGCATTTGTCTACAGTGGAGTGGTTATTTTCTAAAAGTTATCTGTCTTGGTAGGCTGCATCTTTTTTCATCCTTTGGCTAGAGAGAGTAGCCTTTCATTGGGACATTTCTGTCTGTGCCTGTTGGCATTTTCAGGTTTCTGGGTTTTGGCTTTTCTAATACCCAATAAGAAAACATAAAGCTAAATGAAAACCCAAGAACTTAACACTCTGTTCCTTGTTAGATCCTGAGGTCCCTAGCTGGTATGCTTTCTTTTCTCTACCTGCTTTATATATAACTAGAGGCCTGATGCACAAAATTCATGCAAGAGTAGGCCTTCCTTCCCCCGGCTGCTGGCACTGGCTTCCCTCTGGCACCCGGGACCAGGACTTCCCTCGCAGCCCTGGCTTCGTCTAGAACAGCGGTTCTCAACCTGTGGGTCGCGACCCCTTTGGGGGTCGAACGACCCTTTCACAGGGGTCACCTAAGACCATCGGAAAACACATATATAATTACATATTGTTTTTGTGATTAATCACTATGCTTTAATTATGTTCAATTTGTAACAATGAAATTGGGGGTCACCACAACATGAAGAACTGTATTAAAGGGTCGCGGCATTAAGAAGGTTGAAAACCACTGGTCTAGAAGGTCATCCGGTCTAATTAGCATATTATGCTTTTATTATTATAGATGTTCAGAGGTTTTAGTTGTATTTGGGAAGGATAGGGAAAAATATACCTATTCCATTTTCCCAGAAGCAGAATTGAAGAGCCTATAATGCACAGAAACACAATTTCAAACAAAACTAGTAGCTGAGACTTAGGGAGAAGTTGCAGTGCCTTTCACACAAAGATATCAGGAAGGCAATCGAATAAAGAAAGCCAGCCATAGGTAGGAACTGCCCTTGCAAATACAAGACTATCTGCAATCACTTTCAAATAGTAATCCTTAACAATCATAATGCTTTTGATAAAGTTCCATGAAAATCTCAGAGCCTTAATTTATAAATCAGTATAGGGCTTCTGAGAGGAGATATTAAACTACATGGTGTAGGGATACGGAGAAATTGTGACTTATGCCCTGATCCTGGTTGAGCAAAAAGAATCAAATTTTTAATGCCACTCACTTCCTTTTCAAAGCCATCACATCAGTTAAAAAAAAGAAAAGGCAAATTAAAAAGATCTCATGCCCAGCTTCAGGTCTGCCTGCTCCTATTTCTGAGCCCTTCTTGGAGTCCTAAGAGAACACTCACTGTTCATAGGAGGCAACCTTCTGTAAAGTAGTACTAATTTTCAAGAAAAGAGCCCTATAAACAACCTAGAGAAACAAAAACAGTAGCTCACAATAAAAATGACAAAAACAATCTGATTGGATATAAAATCTCAGGAGGACTGGGATATAAACTTTAGGAGCTGGGAGATCAATTGCTATGTTGTCCTGCGTTGTAAATAGCTCTGCTATGTAGGCTGACATAGTTGAAAGGCAAGCGCATTTCAGCAGTTAATTATAGAAACCTGTCCGGGGAGCTACATTTATTGGTTGCAGGAGGTCTATTCTAGCTAAAACCTAAATAAACCAAGAAGAGAGGGTCAGGTAGAAAATGCTAGGAAACTGTTCCAATGGTAGACATGATTTTTTTTTTTCTTTCCTTTCTTCCTCCTTCCTTCTTTTTGGTTGGTGTGGGGTACAGGGTCAGGGTGAAGAGACAGCCAAAGAAGGAAACTATTTTTGTATCAGTTACAAATGGGAACCCTGCACTTTGTACCAGTCAGTTCCTGGAAACATTGCTAGCATGCCCAGAACCAGGAGAGAGTGTGCATGGAAATTATCCAATTTCTTTGCTTTTTCTTTAGGCACTTCCAACTCCCTCAGTGACTGGGCAAAAGGTGAAAGTCAAATCTGTTGATTCTGCTACTTAGATTAAAAGGTTGGGTGAGCACAATTTAGGCAAATGAGTAAATAAAATGAATTGGAGAGGGGGCGGTAGTGAGCACCCTGGGGTTCCTATTGTCCTACTCCCCATTCACCTTCCTCCTGTACTACCCTTCTACAAAGGATTCAAGTGTTGCTTTGGTGTGTCCCTGACTCCCAACTCTTTGATGGGGTCTGGGGCATGGCAAGCCCCGCAATTATCACCAAAGAGTTGAGATTCAAATACAGTGGGGCCTTGACTTACGAGTGTCCCGACTAACGAGTTTTTTGAGATACCAGCTGTCTCTCGGCCGATTTTTTGCATTGAGTTGATAGAGTAATTTGAGTTAACGAGCTCGGTCTCGGAACGAATTAAACTCCTAAGTCAAGGCCCCACTGTATGTACATCAACCACAGACAGAAGAATGAATAAATCTCTCTGGCACACATACACATACACACTACTTTCTGGACTTTCATGTACCTTCAGTTTTGCTTACAACATGGATGCAGAATTTTAAAACACTGGAGAAATATATATACTGGAATAGAGAATATAACTTCCTAGTAATTCCACTCTTGAAAGAGAACAATATTATCAACTTGTTTTCCTACTCTTTTTCAAATTTATGAAAGAAACTGTTGGGTTAAATGAACTCACATAAATTAAAAAGTTATGTTATTCATGGTAGGTTTCTGTCAATGGTTTCCCAAGGAACTGACAGACACTAAGAGTACTACTGCTAGCATTAAGAGACCCACGTATTATTGCAGTTAAAGACTGGTCCCATATTTTTAAAACTTGGGAATTTCTTCTCTTACCTAAAAATTGCAGCAGCAGCTGCGAGTCACAGTTTAGTTATTTGCTGCAAGAAGGCAACGCGTGCAGTTACAACTCTCTGCGGGGGTAGCTCTGGGAGTCAGGTGGTCGCAGGAGGCGTCAGTGAGCGACAGCCACCGCCTCCCACACACCCTCCGCCTTTTGGTAAACAAGGGAACTCCCGCAGTCTGCAAAGGAGGGAGGAGCTTGGGGGCGGGGCCAGGGCGCCTGATGAGGGTATCCAAAAGCCTCCTATTGGTGGTTCTCAAAGGGCGAGGACCTGCGAATCTTGATTGGTTCGCTCCCTGGATTGACAGCACCTGTCCTGACGGGCGGTGCCGCTGTGGCGCTGCGCTCCTCCCCTCGCGGGTGGG